TGGACAGACCGACGAACACATATAACTAGATCGATTAAACTAGTCGGCCTCTACAAAATCTTGGGTCCACACAGAACAAAGTAATTTACGATACAAAAATGAGATTGTTGTTAGAGTTTTACCTGAATATAGGTAACACAATTGCAATGAAATTAAGAGCAGTTAAATGAGAATACGTGATCTTTTCTAAAATGTATTGGTCAACATTTGTTTCATTATAGTAGTAGTGTGTGGAGAAATTTAAGGCTCCGACTGAAATAATGTATGAGGTCTTAGACGAAAATGTCGTGCCATTGTGTACCTCAAGACCTCAATTTTATAGCGAAGTGTAAAAGAATCTGAAATTATTTAGACATTCATCATTTGTATTATTTATATAGCTATTATTTGATATTTCTCACAAAATTTTGTTCTTAGAGGTTATAAGAACGCTCGAAAGTATGTTTAGTATTGATCCACCTCTTGGATTGGTTGGAATAATTCACTTCAAATGTTATATGTCACGGCGAATTAATTATTATTCGCCTTGTTAACAATATTGACATATTATGTTCCCAATTCGCCGATGCGGCTACCTTATATATCTACCTTGTACTCACCTGTGGCCGACCTTATATAGGCCTTGATTATATCTCACAACAATTTGTTGATGTTTGAATTCGCCGTAACAGAAAAAAACAATTTTAGTATACAAAAATTAGAGACATTGGAAATAAAGAATACCATTTTTTATATAAATACAAATCATAAAGTCTTCGATATGAAGACCGTGTTGCCTTCTAGAATGGAAGTCCTGCTGTATTTAATATACTACAAGAACCACGTTTATGTTGTGTAGTAAAGAGGAATTTTTGGTCCCAAAGACAAAATTATGCATAACTTTCGGTACTCCATAAAAAGAACTTGGGTATTGGCGTATTGATTTTATGAAGAGATATGTTTGTCTTCTATAGATATTTTGGTTTATTATAGTTATACATTATAATCTTTTATACAAAGGCATTTTGGTACATTTCAAATAAAATTATATCCTTCATGTTCAGGTGGTTCTATATTGAACCGAGAGTATAATTCGTTTATTTGGCGGTGAGGGTATATTCCGATCCGAAACGATAGCTTCCACACATTCTTTTGATAAAGATGATACAACCATATAAACAATGGAAGAAAAATTACTTTTTGAAGGTCTATTATTGAACATTAAGCAGGCAGAATTCAATAATATTTCTTGAATTTGGACTTTGGTATTTTAAAAAAATCTGTCAATCGCTCCAGCTTCCATGTAGTAATACGCTCGATTTCGGTTGTAATTTCACAATTGTGAATATAATGCAATATTTTGTTAAGTCGTGACAACTCAGATGCTTTATGTTAGTATATAGTATATGTTATTTTTTGAATGTTTATATATGTATGTGTGACACACACAATGCATGAAGCAAGGTAGACATATAAGGTAGCCGCATCGGCGATTTGGGAACATGATAATTCAAAATTGTTATCAAGGCGAATACAAATGAATTCGCCTTCTTTTTTTCCACCAATCAGAACAAAGCATTTTTGAAGTTTTATAAAATATTTATTTACCTTTTTTAGATTTGTGTGCTTTTTTGCAAATGGTAAATTTATGAATTAAAATAGCATAAAATTAAATAGCATAGATGGCAAGGATTACATTTTTGGAGATACGAAGACGTGGACCAGTTTTGAATATGTTTTCTGAGGTAGTAACACCTAAGCATACCAAACTAAACGTACATATCGTTAGCTAAAATGCAAAAAGGCGTAACTAACAAAAGCATAATTGTGTAGGAGAAGCAAAAAACTGTTTTGAATGAAAACTATAAACATGTCATGTGAAATGAAAAAGTATGCCCGGCAGGGTGATATTGCATATGACGAATAATAGACTATAATTTGTTTAACAAATGTAGTTATTTAGTTTAATGGCAGTCATAACAATTAAGTAAAAATTTTTTGATCGCAGACGTGTAAAACTTTGTCAACACATGTAGTTTATTGATATTCACAATATTCATTCAAAAAGTCAATTTTCAATTTTTTGTTAGTTACGCCTTTTTGCATTTTAGCTAACGATATGTGGATACCATTGTTTGGAATCGAACATAGAGTGTTTTGCAAGGAAACATAGAGAGTTTTGCAAAGGAAGAAACTTAATTCTAACAATGCTTAACAATAAAACTCCAGAATGTAGTTCTGTAGGTCGATTCAGTAACTTATAACGATCCGACAATCGACAATTTTGTCTACACATAAAATCGTTTGCAGTAACGAAAATGTTATTCTGTAAAAATGTAGACAAATTGTCGATAAACTTTCAAAAAGCTTTTTATTTTGAACATTTTGAAAACAAAATACATACAAATTCAGAACAAAACAAGGCATGTTCAATATTGAAGAATATTTGTCGATAAGTTAACTTCGAATTTTTTGGTCTTGTTTATTAACAACATTTTTAACAATTGTTGTTAAAAACTGTTATAGAATTAAAATATTGTTTATTTTGTCGTTATGATATTTTATCGATTTGAGAATTGTTTAATTTTGATAGTGAATCGACCCACTGGTTTCCTTGATCAATATCCTTATTATAGATATTGTCTATTCTGATGGTCTCATTTGAAGATTAGCTCGTCGCTCTTCTATTATTGATATTGTGTATAATACGGTATATAATGAAAGGATTTTTACGTGAAATACGCCACCAAATCGTTATAGAATGTCCCAAGACAATATATTCTTAAAAAAATCCAAAACGCTCTTCTGGTGTAATAGTAATGATCTTCCTATAGAAGTTCATGTGAAGGTATCCTAGACATGACCTAGTCGATGCGACTACCTAAAGGGCCCCATACACTATAAATCATACCGTCATGCAGATAAACTCTTTTTGTATATGTGAGATTGACTAGTGAATGGCAAACTCTTCAATCACTATTCCAAAAAATCGATTTTTGTCCAAAAAATGCATTTTGTGTCGTAAATTCAGTTGTTTTTTTATTCCGTCACAATTCTATTATTTTTGTACACAAAATTATTTAAGGGCCCCATATATAAGGTAGCCGCATCGGCGAATTGGGAACATGATATGTCAAAACGACAAACAAAGCGAATTTAAATTAATTCGCTTTGACATATCAATTTTGAAGCAAATTTTTTTTCTACCAATCAGAACACAGAATTTTGAAGTATTAACAAATATTATTTTACTTTTAATTCTTTTTTTGAAATTCTTCTCATTTGAGTAATTAATAATTTTGTGAATGAAAATCGTCAGAAAGATTAAAATCAACATTTGTAAATGCAATAAAATGGCGGTGGAGTAATTTCAATATGTGATTCACGCAGAAAATGTGTTTATAACGCTACGAAATGTTAGCCCTATACCCATCCTTTCGTATAAAGGATTGAGAATATCTCTACTAGCTGAATCAATCAGTCAGTATGAAAAAAGATATTTTTCCTCTAAAATCATATATAATATGTGGATGTATTTGGTCCGATATGGTATATATAAAATGTTTGCTTATTCCATATACTAGAATTTATTGTGGTTGTTCGAGAATCAAATATCAGATAATTGTCGCAGGATTTTTGCACAATCAGGGTTAAGCTCCATAGAAAAACTAAGACCAGTGGATCGACCGAATACACCTCATTGCTCACAAATTGTTAAGGGCCCCATACACTATACATCATGCCGAATTTACGATTCAAAATGTGATTTTTTTGAACAAAAATCGAATAGTGATTGAAGAGTTTTGCCAGTCAATCTCACATATACAAAAAGGGGTTCATCGGCATGACGGCATGATGTATAGTGTATGGGGCCCTTGAAATATTTCATAAAATTGATTTCAAAATAATTTTATTAAATTTTTGTTTGAAGTTTGTATTTTCCTACGGCGAATCCAAAATTATATTTGACATATAATGTTACCATAAGCTTCCTTGATACGGTTACCTTATTAATATACCTTGTGTACAAATATAATAGAATTGTGACGGAATAAAAAACAACTGAATTTACGACTCAAAATTCAATTTTTTGGACAAAAAAAGATTTTTTTGAATAGTGATTGAAGAGTTTGCCATACACTAGTCAATGTCACATATACAAAAAGGGGTTCATCGGCATGACGGCATGATTTATAGTGTATGGGGCCCTTTATATCCCGAATTCGTTAAAGTGAGTATTCGTTTTACCGGCCGTCGACTGTATTACTAAATATAAAAATGCTCTTGTGTATACCCAAAGTGTATGATATAATCGGCCTCGTCCGATTTTAGTCTCATTCTCGTTGGAAAGGTAGAGGAGAAGCTAGTTTATACCACTTATCTAACTGTTTGGAACCGAATACACCAACGGCCAGTGAAATAGAATATTTATGGTTTGACATTATTTTTGCTTTTTAAAATCATTTTATTTTTTAAATAATACGTTGGTCTTTCGAAATAATTTTTTATTTAGTTCTATAGATATTTGTTCTTAACTCTTGGTATTTATATTCAATTTGTAAATTAATTTTTTTATACATTTTCTTCAAGGTAATTTATATCTTCTTGATCCACTATTTCCTCTTTCATGTGTACGATTCACATTTTTTCTGCTTTAAAATATATTGCTCATATTCTTTTTTAATTTTTTTATAGCTGCTTATATACATACTCTGGTATGCGGTGGTTACTCGTTCTCTATAATTTCTTCCCGTATAACTTCTTTTTTTAATTTATTTTCAATAACTTCCTTTGGTTTTGTTAAATGTTTTCTCTTTAAATGTCCAAGAATTTTCTATGTTTCTGTCACCACCACTTATTTCACACATGCTGTACAACTATCTTTTTTATGGCATTCGCAAAATGCGATAATTATTATTTATTTATTTATTTTTTTGTTGGTTTAATTGTTGTGCCAACCAAATGCAATCCAAAACTCCACCACTTATTTATGAACTTATACAAAATACCATACATTGTAGGAGTTGATTGGAAATCTCTTACAATACCGGCATGTTTGCCCATAACTACGGATTATTTTCCTGACAAACGTTCGCTGCACAATGATTATGTTATATCCGATTATACACTCCTGCCGGACGATGTAAATTTGGATTATGCCAAAAGTCGTGCCATCTATCGAAAACCGTTGACAACTGAGGAGGTTTGTACTGAAATTGTTTCGCAACGTTTGGCTCAGGGCTTCCAGCTGATTGTTATCGAAGAGAAGCCTAATGCTCCAGCTCAGGCGCCCTGTTGTGGTGGTTTGAAACAACAGAAGCCAACATCCGTGTTGCATATGAAACCCGACAATGAAGAGACCAAAGAATATTTATTATCAATAGGTCGTATATTTCATAAAATAACATTAAATGGATCGGTAATAACGGTGACTGGTTATAGGCCAAGGTAAGTTTTTTTTTTGTTTGTTTTTAATTCATTTATTATTTATGAAAGAAGAAACGCCAATGGAAAGGTAAAAAATATTCCAATAATTAAAATAAATTGGAAATTTTCTAGACATCCATACCCACCAATAAATGTCGATTACCGTTATCGATTTCATGCTCCTCAACATGAAACCTATGAAATATCTGGAGTTAATTTTACCACGGAGAAGTTGGAAAATTTCAATTGGAATTATATGGATCATTATATATGTACTCGAGGAGATACGGATTATCCATTAATGGAGGTATGTATGGCATTGAAGCGATGGTTTATTATACCCTTCACCACATGACCGATTTGAGACATTTTAGACTTTATTTATGAACTTTTATTATGAACATAAAAAAAAAACAATGAAAAACGATCTGACCGAACTTTGTGTGCCATCCCGCATAGGAATCCTGACATTTATCTATACTAAGTAAAGTGATTGACTGACTGTCTTAGGATCTTGAAATTTGTGGTCCAAAGTTGTCAATTCGTACTAGAACGGCACGAAAAGTACAATTTGTTTTTGGCGAACTCGAGCTAGAACTCTTAAATTTTAACTGAGCGTCACTGATGGGGTGTAGAATAGATGTAGTAGAGGTTTTTTTTTGACATTCGAAATTTGGTACCATTTCTTAGAATGAGAATGAATAGAACCAAAAACTTGAAATTTGCAAATTAAGGTTATGAAGTAGGGTCGATACAAGGGGGTGGGTGGTACCATTTGAATTTGGAGAAACGGATGGAGCTGGAATCCTGAAATTTTAAATCAACATTACCGTCGGTGTGTAGGGTAGCAATATGTTGGTAGTTTTGAAATGTGTATGAAAAGTACTAAATGGGACTAAATTTGGTACCATTTCTTAGAATGTGAATGAATAGAACCAAAAACTTGAAATTTGCAATGCGAATTAAGGTTATGAAGTAGGGTCGATACAAGGAGGTGGGTGGTACCATTTGAATTTGGAGAAACGGATGGACCTGGAATCCTGAAAATTTAAATCAACATTACCGTCTATGTGTAGGGTAGCAATATGTTGGTAGTTTTGTAATGTGTGTGAAAAGTACTAAATGGTACTATATTTGTTACAATTTTAATTTAGGTGAACCGATAGAGGTGGAACACTGAAATTTGGAATTAGATTAATGCCATGTTCTGACGGGCATTCGAACAACGTAGTTCGCTCTCAGAATTACGTATACGAATTAACCCGTTCATACAACACTATTCTTAATTCATGTCATCAGAGTTTTTTTATTTCAAACTTTTTGTTTCTTGTTTCACACCAAAATTGTAACATATTTGCGTGAATCACATATGGATCTAAATAGAAAAAATAATTCTCTTTCTCCTGACTATAATATCAACCCCTATCTCTTTACTTTTAATTCATGTTTTCCATTTTTTCTGAAAATATTGTTGTTTTCAATACATTTTTATATTTTCTCAACTCAAATGTCACATTTAAAAAGTGGGAGAATTTTTGTTTGGGTTTCCCCACTTTTGTTTCTCGTTTTGTACGCTAATTAGAACCAAAGAAATGCACATTGCATTATGTAGACAACAAAATTTACATCCTTCTGCATATATAAAAACTAGAATTTTGGTTACTTTTCATTAATCATTTTCAATTTTACTGAAAAAGTTTGAAAATTTTAAAAATTTGTTCATGCTGTCAAAATTAATTTATTTTCGATAAATTCTCTCAATTGTTAGAGATGGGACAAAATTCTTGGTGATTCAGAGAGTGATTCGAATTGAACAATGTACAAAAGTCGGTGTTCGCTCAGACAATTTTGTTTGGGAACTAAGTAATTACTTCATAATTTAGGGTCGAACAACGAATGAGAGAGCGAACAACGCTCGTCTGTACATGGCATAATACTGCATTGTAGAATTGAGATATATTGGTAGTTTGGGAAATTCGTACTTATGTGTACTAAATTTGGTACAATTTGCATTTTGGGTGAAACAATAGAGCTGGAATCCTGAAATTTGGAGTTAGTTAGTTATAAATTGGGTTGTAGGATTGCGGTGTGTATGAATTTCTACAAATGTGTACTAAATGGTACTAAATTTAAATTTAGGTGAAATGATAGAGCTTGAACACTGAAATTTGGAAATAAGGAAATAAAGATAAGAAGCTAACACGAAGTATTAGGAGGAAGGTGGGAAGAGTTTCGATAGCTATAGAAATTGAACAGAAAACATAGATGCTGTAGCTTAAAGCAGGTTTCATAGTTGATAAGAAGCATAGAGGTAAGCTCAATGCCTAACCTTTCGCAGTAGACGTCAGCCCCTGTACCTTCATCCATCTTGGATTAGTCTGTAAAAAAAGGCAAGACCGTCCAGAGGAGGGTTGCTACGGTTTCAGACGTCTCTACTAGGGATAACGACATCTATATTGTCAAAACTCAGGACTGGTGATATATAGTCGCTTAGTTTTACGCGTTGGTCCAATGTGATACCTAGTTCGTTTAGGATACATCCATGCCCGTAGGTACAATTTCGCCATAAATTTTGTTCATGCAGCCTTAGGGCACTACGCGCTACCTGACACTTAATGCTGAGACACAGAGGCCTTAAGTTTAGCATTACGTTCAGAGCTGCTTGTGGGGTGCTTCTCGCGACTCCAGTTATTAGAATCGAGGCGGCTCTTTGTACTTTGTCTAGTTTGCTGGATGTAGACTTGTGGCGCAATCAGTGCCGTCAAACAAGATAACTTTTCCCAATGGGGTTCTTGCATGCATAGAGTGCAATCTGCCCTCTCTTCGCCCGTTCCTCGGCGTTCTATTCCATCGTAATTGACAGTCCAGGAATGTGCCAAGGTAATTGGCTTCGGGCGACAGGTGAAGCTGCACTCCATATGTACTAAATTTCGTATAATTTTAATTTTGGGTGAATCGATAGAGCTAGAATCCTAAAATTTAAAGTTTTAGAAATAAGTACTATAAGAGAATATACGTAATAAATTGTACTTAAATTTTAATTATGGTCGTTATTGGTTTTTAGATAATACCCACATTCGTTAACGAAGTTTGCGGGCATATGCTCGTACCTTATATAAAGCGAATATTTCGTAACACTCTATATAAAAATACTACATTACGTTACCAATCTTCATAAAATAGCGAAAGTTAGATGATTTCAACAGACGGAAAAGTCTTAATAGACATAGAATTTTATTCTCATGAAAAATATCAATTGAATGATAAATTTAATAAAAACTTTTCCTTCGGGTGGTGAAGGGTATAAAAACTTAAAACAATTATTTGTTTAATTAATTTTCAACGTTTTTAATTATGTTAACAAAAAATGAGTAAATTATTCTTTTAGAGCTTAAAATATTGGCGTTTCCGTATGTATTTGTTGCCGAAGGAAAATAAAGCTATGAATAAAATTATGGAACAGGGATGTCAGTACTGTGATGTATTTACCGAACCGACACCGGAAAGTGCCAAACAGCAAGTTGAGGATTTTATGCGTTTTATGGAAGTTCACATTAACAAACTGAAACGGCGTAAAGCACGCGTAAGCAATTTTCCATAGAAACCTAAATGTTTATCAATGTTCAATTTATTTTTGTATCTTTGTATTTTTTCTATATCTGTATCAACATGAGTCACTAATTTTTTATTTTATTTATTTATATTTTTTCTTTTATACATTTTTCAATTTTATTTATTTATATTTATTTTCTTTGTTACCGCTTATTGTAAGAAAACATATTTTAATTTATGTCTTCTTGGTTTATTAATTATTTTTTTATTGTTGTTTATGCTTTTACAAAATTATGTTTTTAATTTAAAAAATATTTCATACTTTCCCAACGATGTATTGTTGCTTTTTTGTGCCTTAAATGTTTGAGTTGGATTCGTTTACAGGATAGTCCTACCGCACAAAGTCATCTAACAAGACGGCGCCACAGTACCAGCATAATTTCCAGACCTCCGCCTAATCAGGTTCTCTACCTTTCAAATTCTTTAATTTACCACTTAACAAACAATTCTATTAAAAACCACTACTACTACTATTAAAAAAGATAAACGTTTTAATTTTCTTTTGTTTTTACCATTTTTTGTTTGTTTTGATTTTCGTCAATAATATTCACAAATTTGTCCATTGTCCATTTGTCAATTCATCACTAACGTGTGAATTGAAAATGATATTTTTTTTCTTTCTTTCTGTTATACCTTTGAAAATATTTATAATAATTATTTTCTTTAATATCCTTCCAAATTTAGGGTCTCACTAATTCTCCCTTTCGTGAAAGAGTTGGCAGTAATCGTTTACCGGAAAAACGACCAAGGTTTTTATTATTGATATATTCAATATTCCTTTGATTTGGTATTTTGTACAATAGTATTGGCATTTTTTCTTTGAATGGCTTTGTTTTTCTGTGATATATACATATATATATATATATTTTTTTTCAATTTCGTTGTTAAGGTGTTTGATTTTATTGTTTATTGTAGTATTATGCTTAAGACAATTATAATTAATATATATTTGAATATCTTCTGTATATAACATAAGGAGTTTATTAGTGCTTGTTTTTTTAAGTTTACTTATATAATATATTTAATTGGAAAGGGCTGTAAGCATTTTTTACAAGGAAATTTCTATATAATCTAGTCCGAATTATATTACAAAGCGTGACTCTATTAAATATTGTTTTGCAAATATTTTCCTTTCCACAAATACTAAATTACATGCAGGATCGGTTGTAATGACTAATACCAAATAATAATATCAACAAGTTTAAGTCGATGGGGATTTTTTGCGATATTTCTTTCCAACGAAATTATACATTGCTAAAACACATTACAACGGACGAAAATGGTTAAATCCTTTTATTAATTTATGTTTTCGATGGCCAGCTGCCTCAAGTGGATAATTAAAAGGCCTTTTAATTATCCATTTGAAGTGGATAATTAAAAGGCGCCATTCTCGCCTAGTCAGTCCTTGGATAATAGAAACTCGGTCATTTCCTCCGAGACACAGCACCCGCTGATTGTCCGCGACTGCTTATTTGATATTCACAGCTACCCAAAGAATAGGATTGGGCTTCCCACTATCCGTAATCTGTGGACCCGGCCATTAGCGTTCAGTTATGCTCCCCGTAGGCGGATCAGATCTTATTTGAACATCTTCCAATAAATTTTCCCTTCAGCAGCCCCCTTAAGTCCCTCACCTCCGAACATCGAAAATAAAAGAGTTGTATTGTGACGAAATCTCTGAAACAGCTGGATTAACCTGGAATCGAGTACCTGGCCAATGTTCTCGTTATGTCAGTAAACACATACATAGTTCCCAAAGCATGAAACGTGGACGCATGTTTATTTATAGTTCCGGAACAATAAGTTTACCGTAATTCAAAACAAGGATTTCCCCAGGGTAATATTTTTGGAGCTGTTTAACATCATTTCTTCCATAAAATCTACGGGTAAACTATTTACCACATGAAGTGCGTAGTTTAGAATGCTGTTGCTAGGAACAAAGATTGAATACCGGATTCCACGTCCATTTATTATCAGATGTCTTCAACTACGTTCAATGTGTAACATTTATGTAAACATTAAACCGAATTCTCTTCCTAGGCTATTTCCATACATTGAGAAATTTAATTACAGTTTATTCGTAAAAAAAATTACCAGGGAAACCTTCGAAATAAAATAAAACCAGTTAATTTAGATACGAGAAAGCTTTCACTGATATAAATCACCTGAAGTTTGTTACAACCCTTTCCAATTGAACGGACAATTAACCACCTGTTTTTGTTAATAAAAGTTTTCTAAAAATGTTTTATATCAACTCTTATTGTCTATAATTCTTACGAATAATTACGAACGAATAAAATAACTTTACAAGAACCGGTGGTAAATCCACTCTCATCATATTTCACAGCTTTTAATATAATAATTTTAAGCTATTTTCATATATATTTTTTTATTTATGTATGTTTTTCATGTTTTTTTTGCTATTTCTTTTCATTTATTTTATTTTCACGTTTTTTTTTAATTTTTTTTTTGTTTTGGTCTTTGGCTTTCAGCATGTTACAACTAGATTCTCTGATAAGCATCATCTAATATTTAATTCACCACAGCAAAGGTTTGTTGGTTTGTCACACACACAGTCGCACATAAATAGCTGCACATTAATGTAAATAAATTTGCAACATCAAAATTCATTTCACACCTAAAAAACATTTGTAAATACACAAGAAGTTTACAGAATTGTTTTTTTTTTAACTTATTTGGCTTACTTTGTTGCTTTCTTAACTGTTCTGTTTTATTGGCTATATACTGTATTTTATTTTAATCTTTCTAAAAATGCTTAATATAATTTGTTTTTAATTTAGTAGTATACGTTCAACTGTGGTTAAACCGGAGCGTGTAGGTGGTCGTATTATCCATCCCGCCGCCGATGCAGCAGCTGTTGCCTTAAACGCTTCGGATTCCAATGCCCCACATGATGATTATGACGAAAAGTAGGAAAATATTTGAATTTTGTAGTATTTCTATTCTAATATTAATTTAATATTCCCGATTATAGTTCGACAACGGAAATAAAATTACGTCCCAATGCCACACTAAATGAAATATTCGAGGCAATGAAACATCCGATACATGGCGTTGCCTTTATATCGCAAACACAAAGCCTGCCCTCATACACATTTGTATCATTCGATGCCCTGATGTGGCTGAAAAACAATTTGGACAATAGTCGAAATCCCTTGGACATATTGGAGAATATGAGAAAGGAAAAAATGATATGTCATGCATCGGGGGATTTCAATAAACCAGTTATACCGGGTTTCTATTTATATTTTATAGCTCAACAGGATAAAAATGCCAAAGGTAAGATAGTATTTTGTAATGGTATTTCAAAAACTTATTCTTCAACCCCTGTAGATTATGCTAAGCCTCTCAACGATTTAAGTGCTTTTGAAAATGAATGGATGGAAATTGAGCTGGCAGGCTGCAGTCATTTATGGACAGATGAAACAATACTGCCTCGCATACCGAATTTCCTCAAGGATATTCCTTCGCCTCAATCATGGACAGAAACGTCTAAAAATAGTAAGTTACTCACTAAATTTTTTACTACGATACCAATTTTTAAATTGTGATGTTTAATTGTAATGTTTAATAATTAACAAATTAATAGATTTTACGATTATTTTTATTTGAAATTAGTAAAAATAAGTAAGATTAGGCCAAATTTAACAAATGTGTTAGAGCAATGCAATAAAACAAAAAAATGTCTGCACATGCAACAACACTGTATGTATTTGCAATTAGACCCATTGTGCGAAAATTCCAAAACCTGGGACTAAGCGAATACCCACGATTGAAAGGCCAGTCCATGGGCTTTCATAATATATACTTTTTTTAATTGTACAATTTAAGTGTAGGTCTGGTAATTTATATATTCCAAGGACAAGTGAGATCAGGATGATGGATCCACCTCATTTTGTACTGGGCACGAATTAATGACACAACACAACAAAATATAATGTTCAAAACTAAAAAATAAAATAATATTCTAAAAACTAAAAAAATAAATTCCTGTTTTTTTCAGAAAAAATATACCGGCATTCACATCTGGAAATCGATGTTAATCAAAAAAGTGAACGTATGGAGTGGGGTCATGTTAAATATCATACTGTGATGCAAACTGGTTTTGCATTTGAAATTGTGGTGCAATGGGTAACGTCATCTGGTCCCATTGTATGGGATTTGGTAAGTCTATATTTTTATCATAGAAACAAATTAATCGATTTCTAAAAAAAATATAACTAAATTTCCTAGACTAATGGTTGGATACGTAAAGCAAATCAATGTAACTTTCAATTAGTACCAGTTCCTGCCGATCCAATGGCTGAGCCTTTTACGGAGAAATCTGATCCATTGAGAGGTCCTATTTTTATACCCTTAGCTACTCATGTTTTAAATTCTGGCGAAGGTTTATTTGAAGGTTTGTTACAACAAAATTTTCGTCCGCTCTTTTCCTATGAGATATTACTAGCAATGAAATTAACATTTTCAGAATTTCCCGAAGAATCAAGAGCAGATCGCATGCTACAATTTCAAGAAACAATTTTGTCACGTTTTGGATTTCTACCCTGTGTGGTGGAAAAGAAATTTTCATTTAACAAAGATGTAAGTATTTTAACAGGCTAACATTTTAAAAATAGTATAACATAGAACATTATAAAACCTACAATATTCTTGCCTTTCTAGGTTCCCAAAGAATATCAGTATGTTCACTGTTCAGGAAATATGTTTGTTCTCATACGGTAATATTGACTAACCAAACAAAACAAAAGTTCGAATTATTTTTAATTAAATTAATCATTGCAGTTGTTCCAAAAATACCAACTATCAACTCGATTCGCCGAGTCGTCAAGAAGCCAATGTTACAAGATGTGTTTATGGTCACACCAACAATACAAATGTTCCCAAAAAGGTATCTATCGAATCGAAAATAACTATTCATCAGTTAGCATAATATGTCATTTTGCAGATTGGTTTCCTATGGGCATGGAATCACATGATACCAAATAAAAAATGGAAATCTCTGGTTATTAACAATTCCTCAGATGGCGAACTATTTCAATTGAAAATGTTAAAAGACTTTCGTGAATTCTGTTCAAATGTCGATGATCGTTTGTTGAACTTTTGGAGATCATGCCATGAACTGAAACGTCAATCGTTAAGTAGTATTGAAAACATAAACAACAACAATAATATAGAGAGTAAAACTTAATTTTTTATATTACTATATATTTATAAATATTTGATATATTTAAAATGTCAATGTTATGTAATATGTATATATATGAGAAATACGAGTATGTTAGGTTTATTTATTAAATGAATAAACGTTAAATAAATAAGAACGTTAAATTATAAGATTTTTTGTAAGGAATTGTGGGAGTTATGTAATGAATTACAAATATCGACGTGTAAAAGGAAATTGTAATTTCCTTTTGGGCATTTTTATTTATAAAAAGGCATTTCAATTAATAAAAAATTCTCAATAAAGTGTTTTCGCTGGTTAACAAAGGAAATTTTTGCTATTATTATTTTTTTTTTTTGTAAAGAATTATTATTTCTAATAATAAAATTTATAATAATGATAATAATATCCCCCTGAAAACAGTCTGACAAAAACCGAAAATATTGTCTTTCCTGCCCTACTCCTTTATGAACAATTCATTATTTTTCCATTAACAAATCGTTGTTTTTGAAACCCCCTTGTGCCGGTCATGTTATGGATGCACACTTTTTGTCTTGATACTTATTTGTACTTGCATTTTCCTTATCCATTTTAATATTTAATGTAACAAAATAAAATTCAAAAACCTTCAAATGACTAGAAAACAATTGTTTTGTTTACAGGTCATAACTATCAAATCAGCCCTCTTTTACTGGACTTTCCAGTAGCAATACCATCCATTCCATCACCCAGTAATAATTTGTACGAATTATTAAAATTATTAAGTAAACGAACATACCTATTGTCATTTCACATCGGTCATACCAAACATCTGACTGTGACTTTCCACGGGACTTTCTGTCTTAAGACACTTTCACTATTTTTATAGGTTAGGTTCCTATTCTGAGGACCAGCATCGTACTTGACTTTGAAGTAGATTCTGTAGTTGGATTCCATTCCATCTGGAATACAGCAATGATGCGGATAACGCTACTAACTCGATCCCCATGAAAAGGGAGGTTAGCAGGGACGGGAAATTGAGGTGTGGGAAGACTCGTAACAAAAAGTAGACAATTTTTAATTTCAATTATCACGTTTACTAAACGTACTTCTAAGTTTTGTATATATATATATATATATTTGTTAATAATTTTATGTATTAGATTCAACAATAATGTATATTTTAAATTCGTTTCTGTTATTTTGTCAATGCAGTTGCAAAAATGATACTAAATATAACAATTGTGAGTTTTGTGTCACCCTGTAATTTCGATAAAAATCTTGTTATCGAAAAGGTCTGGAAGAACCAGCGAAAGTTGGTCTGTTCCCGTGTGAACAGTACTAACTTGTGTATACAGTCCAAAATATTGAAATTCGTATTCGAATAGTACGAATTCTGTGATCAGAATTAGTTTTGATTGTTGTAAAAATGAATATAGAGAATAATTTAAAACGATTTGATTAAAATGATTGTTCCGTCGATTTAGCATTTGGTTTTCTTGATATTGGACTTTTATTTTTCAGGAATAATTTACTGTATCACCCAAATGCAATGATGTAGCGATGTCAAATTTTGTTCATATTCTATTAAGGATAGTTGTATTAAATCTGTGCACAGAAAATTGCTCTCTGATTACGGAAAAAAATTGTCAACAAAGGGTTAATGCAAAAGTGATGATATTTTTTAGTTGATCAAAAACAAAAAATTCAAAATACGCATTGTCAATGTTGTACATTTTTAACTTTATATTTTGATACGCAATGCGTAGTTGGGTAAAATTCTTGGAAATACATGTATTTAACTTTTGAGGTGAATAAAATCGTACGCATACGCTTGAATTTAGGTACGACCCTAAAAGTGAAAAATGCTAGTGTGTACATTGCTTAACTTACTTAAGGCTTTATAGTTTGGCCTTTTCAATAAAGGCTATCGAAAGTCTAATATCCCATTTTTTGGCATAACGTTTTGATTGAGTCAAATGGTGTCTAGTTTCAGACCCGGCATATAGCTCCCATATATAGTTTCGTCCGATTTCATGTAAATGGTGCATCATATATCCTTCGATTTGCACGAAATTTGGCATAAAAATTGGGCCTAGAATGATGTCTGCCAAGTTTCATGAAAATCGGTATATTTCAGATATACTATATATACCATTTAATGTATGTCAAATTTCCTATATATCTTTCGAAAAACTTTGGTACAGCCTAATCATTTAGGTCTAGAATGATGTCTGCCAAGCTCCGTGAAAATCCTTCAAGATTTAGATATAGCTACCATATATAGTTTCGTCCGATTTCATGTAAATTGTGACCAAAATCCATATATATCTGTTTGCAAAATTTGTAACGTAAATTGAGCCTAGAGTTATGTCTGCCAAGTTTATCAATTTGTCGGATATAGCTCCCATATATATTTTTTTCATGTAAATTGTGCACCAACATCCATATATATCTTTCGATTTGCCCGAAATTTTGCACAACGTACTGAATTGAGCCTAGAGTGATGTCTGTAAGTTTCGATAAAATCGGTCCATATTTCTATATAGCTCCCACATATAGTTTCGTCCGATTTCATGTAAATGGTTCACCAAAGTCGCTATATATCTTTCGATTTGCACGAAATTTGGCATAACGTACTGAATTGAGCCTAAAACAACCTTGTTTCGTGAAAATCGTCCAGATTTAGATATAGCTCCATTTTATTATAGATTGATTTTATGTAATTGACGCACCAAGGAACCAATAGGAACAAAACGTTCTAAAGTTAGTATAACCTAACCTGTGACAAGTTTGTTTGAAATCGCTTAATATGTGGATATAGCTTACATATATTTTTTCGCCCGATATCAAGCAAATTGGGCATCATACTCCTCATGTTAGTCATATTGACATCAAATTTTGCACAATGTACAAAATTGAGCATAGAATTACGTAGTTGCGTTTTCTAGAAGTACAGACATAGTCAACCGGATGACCTATTTATATTTGTTTGAAGTCGATTTACACACTTTATGGACAAATCTAGGTAGATTCACATTTAGATAAATATCACATATTTTATTTCATCCAATTTCATGTTAATAGTCCTGTTTAATGTACCCATAGTGGTGAAGGGTATCCTAGAGTCGGCCCCGTCCGACTTTACTACTTTCCTTACTGGTCAGGAATAATGTACTGTATCACCCAAATGCAATGATGTAGCGATGTCAAATTTTGTTCATATTCTATTAAGGATAGTTGTATTAAATCTGTGCACAGAAAATTGCTCTCTGATTACGGAAAAAAATTCGGGCCACAAAGGGTTAAGCAAAAGTGATGATATTTTTTAGTTGATCAAAAACAAAAAATTCAAAATACGCATTGTCAATGTTGTACATTTTTAACTTTATATTTTGATACGCAATGCGTAGTTGGGTAAAATTCTTGGAAATACATGTATTTATCTTTTGAGGTGAATAAAATCGTACGCATACGCTTGAATTTAGGTACGACCCTAAAAGTGAAAAATGCTAGTGTGTACATCGCTTAACTTACTTAAGGCTTCGTCTGGCCTTCTTCAATAAAGGCTATCGAAGTTAATTCCCATTTTTTGAGTTTTTATTTCAAATATTTATTTATTTTGAGAGATGTTTTAATTATGTGGCCACTTCAAAGCAGATGTATTTTCATAAAACCGTTATTTATGGGAAAATTGCATGCAATAATTTTCTATTTTCACACTAAATCGCTAAAGTGCAGTATATCGAAGTGTTCTGAATTAAAAAATTTTCAAAAATACTTCAAACGAATCGAGGGCCGATCAAAAAATGTTTACCACAACAAATGTTTTAATTACTTTTTCCTTTTTAAATTAATATTTTTATATTAACTATTTCTTTGTTATTATTATTTTTGTTATTCTTATTGATTTTACTCGGATGAGTTATGAGCTATGTAATGTTTTGGCCTTAAATAAAAATAAAAAAAATAAAAAATAAATCCAGTAAAAGAGAGTCAAGTGAGAGTGCAAGTTTGACAGTTCAACAACAACAAACTTACTGGAGTTTACTGAAAGAATTTTATGCAGTAAGATTTTGCAAACTCAGCCAATTTCGGATCAGCTGCTTTATGACCAAACACGAAAATTATTAAGGGAACCCTGGTCTGGTAAATGAATACCAATGCTTGTTAAGGTTTGTAACTTTGCACATATATATTTGAAGATTTAAAAAGGAAGAAAATAATTTACAAAAAAAAATGTTGTTGTTGTTTTTTGTTATCAAAGAAATGTCCTTATTTTTGATGGCGGGCATGATAACTCCTCACTGGAACATCGGAATCCGAAAATTCCAGCGGTGTTAGAAAGAGTACATGTCTGGCTCTCGTATGAACTAGGATTATTGACTTCGCACAACAATTAACAAAATGGCGGAACTTTGATTTTTTTTTTTTTTTTTTTTTTGGAAAATCGCCTATTTTTTACCACAAACTAAGTTAAAAAATAAGGAAGTTCTTCACCGAATGGCTTTGTCCTAGTTCATACGAGAGCTATACACTCCCAGAGAAACGTGTCAAAATTTGGAACCGATTGGATTATTAGTTTTTGAGTTATCGTGCCCGCCATTCGCAAAAGAGAAAAACGTGTTTAAAGTTTGAGAAGCCCTTTAGCCGTCACTTGATGCTGACACAATAAATCGGCTATATTTTCAAGAGTTCTCGAGATTTTCACTTGAAATTTTGTAGGGACATTCTTGAATTAGTGTAGATTCGAATTAAATCAAAAAATTTTTGACCCCGAGAATGGGGGGTCCCCTTAAAACATTTTCTTAATTTTCAAAGTTCACTTTCAAGTTAAGTTGTATAAATTTCTTTTATTATTCATTTTATTTTTAATATTAAATTCAATACAAATAATTGTGTTCGTCCTTGGTTTGTTGTTTATTTTGGCGCAAATAAAATGTTTTCAGCTGTCATTTGTTAAATCTTACTAAAACTCCTTGTACATTAGAACTTTTTTAGCGGGTTAACCTACTTTATGAGGATTTATTTGGCATATATGCAAAGGAAATGACAATTGAAACCCACTGGGTTAACGAAATCTGGTTAAATGTAAACGTACTATAAATGTTGTCTGCTTACTTTTTTCAGAATTATTGCAAAAGAGAGTAAAAACAACTTACTCTCTTAACTAGAACTTACTGAATAAATGTTAATGAAAATGTAACCAGACACACCTATTATTATGTCTCGCCCTCTATGCTTTCAGGTTCTTTCTTATTAGGCATTTTCTTATTTCTCTTCTATTCGTAGCTGGTGGAACGTTTTTAATTTCGGTCGGTATTATGTTTTGGGTGTCTTGGGTGACGGCTGACATTATTTAATTGAATTCAATTAAAAAACGTACACAATTTACGCAAAGGGAAAGAAAAAAGAACACAACAACAATAACAGGCACAAGGAATTTGATTTATTTCACTGGATTGGAGATTTCAATTAGTATTGCTTTAGAAAATTCGATTAATTGGCGACTTTGTGTGGTGAAGCAATCAAACAGATAAAAGACGTTGGAAGAAAACAAAACAAATTGAAGTTGGACGTCAACAAAAAAAAAGGTTAGTGAAAAGGGAAATATTCTTCTAGTTTTATTGAGCCACACAAGTAATTCATAAATGTTTATTTTACAGGCGTCTCCCACCCTCCCGCAAACAGCTGCTGTTATTTTTGTTTAAGTTAATGATTGTTTGCTGGGCCTGACCGACCGTTTTGAGCCGACGTCGGTGGTGGGTGTTATGTGGATTCAGATTCTTGACACTTGATGGATATCAATGCACATCGTATCTATTACTAAATTGGAAGACACATGGCCTTTGTTCTGAAGGCATTGCAAATGTTATAGACTGCCATTTATGAAGCGCTACTAAAAAGGGCGTAAAATAAGACACAAATCAAATGTATTTTCAAGCGCACACAAGTTATTTTACAACTGTTGTGGAATATGGCGCAATTTCATTTGTAAGTACCGATAGGCCCACGAAATTTTAATTGGAATTCAATTCGGTAATTCGTATCGTTCATGGTCAAGCCTAAAGATTGCTTAATTTTGCGTGACACTTGTCTCTTAATATAATTTTCATTGTTAAGGGGTGACCAAAAAGAAAACAGGTAGCTGACAAATTAAGAAAGAAAATACAAGGAACTTAATGGAAAATTGAATTGAGGTTGGGGGGTTGGTGATATGCCTGACACATCTATTTTTGACAAATTGTCCGAAAAAGTTCTTATCTCTGTGTTGTGGTATGACAATAATTACCATTACCGGATATTAAAATATTACTATGCATTGTATTTGTTAATATCAACATCATGGTTTGACCTACATATATTTTTGTTGTCTATTTTGCAGATACTCTAATAGCCATAATAAACATGGCACATCTTCTGAACCTATTATAGATGTAAATCGTGTTGATAGTGAACATGTTCCACTTTGTTCTGTTAATGATGTCCAATTACGATTTTTGGTTCCAGATGACTTGGCTGAGGTATGTTGTACAGAATGAAATTAATCGTGTAAATTGATAACATCTAAATGTACTTTTTTTAATATTAAGCATTTGAAACAAAAACAAGCTGTTATTGTTCTAATGTTCTATTGTTCTATGCTATATTGAAATATCACTATAAAAAATCTTTTCTAAATTTGAAAGGAATTTTGAACGACATTCAGTAAATTCTACAAAAAAAAGATAATCTATATTCAATAACTAACTAAACTCATTAAGTAGTATAAGAAAAAGAATGAATTTATTTAGGATTTATAGAACCGAATATCCTAATCTCTAATCTTATATAAATATACTTATGTATTTCGCCACCGTTTTTGAATAGCTTATTTTCGAAATATTAATAAAATTAATTTCTAAATAAAATTCATTTTTTAAAGGTACGAACATTATGCCAAGACTGGTTTCCCATCGATTATCCATTATCCTGGTACGAGGATATAACTTCCAGTTCTAGATTTTTCTCCTTGGCTGCTGTATATAATTTAGCTATAATAGGTTTAATTGTAGCTGAAATTAAACCATATCGAAATTTAAACAAAGAGGTGCATTTTAGATATATTTCTCATAAAAAATTAAATTTTTTAATATTATGCCCACTTCCCATTAAATTTATTTTGATGTTTTATAGGATAAAGGTATTTTACCCGATAATATGGGTAAAACTGCTGATATTGGCTATATTTTATCACTGGGTGTACATCGAAAACATCGACGCAATGGCATCGCCTCATTACTATTGGATGCTTTGATAAATCATTTGACAACGGCCGAGAGACAGTCAGTAAAAGCAATATTTTTACATGTGTTAACTACAAATCAACCTGCCATACTATTTTATGAAAAACGAAGGTATGTATAAATGTTATTGGCTGTAGGCGTCTGTATTTATTGTATCTTAATTATATAATTCATATATTGTATTACAGATTTAGCCTGCATTCTTTCCTGCCTTACTACTATCATATAAGAGGCAAAGGTCAACGTGATGGTTTTACATATGTGACCTATATAAATGGTGGTCATCAACCATGGACGTTATTATATCCTTTTCAAAAAAAAAGTATTATGAAAAAATAATTTTATTTCACATCCATCCACAGTTTTATGACTATGGTTATTATGTGCCGTCATAAAAATGCATTTCGAAATTACGACATTTTTAAATATCGTGTCTATGTTTTATAGAAATCTAAATATGTCTGATCACTATTAACCTTTATGCCGAACTTGCAAGATGAAGATGAAATTAATTTTCCTCCGCTAATCGCTGTGCTACTTAAGGAGATAAAAAAGTGGTATCGAATTTGCATCAAACTTTGTATAACGTAATATTCCAACTTGGTCTTCTAAATTCGATCACCACAGCAGATCCGGAAAAATTAAAATCGTCCAGACATCGGAACATACCTTCGTCTCGAATATCAATTCATTCTCAAAAGTAAAGACGATATACTGAGGCTACGACCGAAATAAGGCTAATAATTTGAGACTTTACAACGGAATCCATACTTTTCAATCTGAAATTGAGGAGGTTTTATTTATTATCTTATTGAAAAGATAGACAAAATAACTTGAAATAAGGGAAAGGATATTTTGTATAAGACTCATTGGAAAACCGTTAATGCATATGACTTTTGATTTAATCTTAGCCGCTGCATCCATATAATATCAAGATTTTCCAACGACTAAAAAACTCAAGATATCAATTTAGCACATCGGGCTCAGCATTTTGTGTTCACGTTGGGTAAATATGCTCCCTATTTGCGAACATTTCCTCTTAAATTTTAGATTTGTTGAATTTTGAATACTTCAGTATTTAATAGACCAAATGTTAAATCGTTTTAAATGGACATGTCAATGTTTGTTCGTATAGCTTCCATATTTTTGGTATAATTTCGTTGAAAAAAATGTAATTCGGTCGGATCGAATTTTATTTACAGAAATATATTTTTCTTATTAACTGTATTTCCCCAAGGTATTTCCTTAACTCCATAGCACAGATCATATAAAAGATTATGCATCGAAACTACGACATACTGGTGAAGTTTTTAAATGGGTTTCGACACGTGTCAGACAAGTGGTACGATGGATATGCCACAAAACAGTATCACGCTTTAATTTTGCCCATTGAAAATGCCCAAACGAAAATAACCGCGAGTAATGGATGGAGATGCGCATGGAACGAACACATACACACAATTTATATGGGATTTGGCGAATCCATATAATAACGACTATATAAAACACAAGAAAGAAAGCAGAAATTATGTATGTAAATGTATTTTACAATCAGATTTAGACAAACGACAAATATATCATATATATGTATGTATATTATTACAAATTTTGCTTAATATTAAGTTATTGAAAACAAAACAAAGCGAACATATTTATTGTTGAGCATATTTAACAGTACATATACAATCTATTTTCATTAATCCGAAACTCCTTGAATTCCCGAAACAAAACCAAAATTCCAAATTATTAATATAATTTAAACCTTGGGTATTATTTTCTACAAAGTATACAGCTTTGCTTTAATTTTATGGTGATATTAATTTGTTCCAAGTTTAACATTTTTTTAATTAATTTATTTTTTTTTTGTTTGTTTTGTTTTTCTAGTTTCAATTATATACTTTTTGTAAATACAATAATAGATTATTTTCCCCCATCAGCCACTGTACGTATACAAATATGTAATCATAAATGTGAAAAAAATGTTCATAGTATTAATATTACAGATAAAGAAAACATACCAAGATGTGTATGCCTATAAACCAATCTAGTTACCAAATAATAAACAGAAAAGAATAACACAAATTTAGTCGATAATAATTTAAGACAAATTTACACTTTGATTTCTTTATTTAAATTATTATGTATTATACATATTTTTTAATTATTATTTTTTTTAATTATAATTTATGTGATTTTATATACGATTTAATTATATAGTGTTTTATGCTCCCACTTAGCTAAATTATAAACAATTTTATTTTCAATAAAAGAAAATAAATTTTAAATCTTCATCTTGTTTCATTGAGTAATGGGCGGTGGTTGCCCAATTACCGACAACATTAATCTTGCAAGGTTATAATGATTAGGACGAAAAAGGGAGACGAGGGTCATTTCGTTCCTATTGCAATATTCTGTCCACTACAGACCTATTTCGAGTCAATAAGACTCTAATGTCTCATATCTGGAAAGTTTTGCTGTTGGAGTCATGTGTGGTAATATCGTGGTAGACGCTATAGCGTTAAGTAATACATTTAAGTAAATAGAAATATATACCTGACATTAACCAGTATAGTGACATCTGGCATTTAGTTTTAATTAATAACCATATGAGTATATCATCCCGATTCTGTACTTGTCTCCAAATTAAGAAAGTCAACTACTTCCAATGGCCGTTTCCACGACAATCGGATCTACGCTCTGGAACGACCCGAGTTCGACTCGGCCAGGGATTGTCAACTCAGCGACAGCTGTACAAAACGAATGTTTTTTTCCACAGGTGAGCAATTCATGTCGGCAGCTTTGCTCGCCATTCTTTTAATCGGTGCCGGCGTTGAACAAAACCCAGGTCCTGATGTCTGGTTTTGTTCAGTGTGTCATCTACGCATCGCTGGAAATTCCACCTCTGTGCTGCTAGCTCCCCGGCTAGTTTTCCGTTAAGCAGAACTCCTACCAGTTCCAATGCTGGTAGTTCCACTAGATATTCTACTAGTGATTCGCGTACTACGGCTAACACTCCGTCTAGTTCTCCATCCAGTAGTACGACCACTAGTGCTCATACTGGTAATGAAGCTAGTTATTCTACTAGCTTCTCTTCATATTCTACGGCTAGCACTCCGTCTAGCCATTCATCAAGTAGAATTCATTCTAGTGTTCCGACTAGCACTCCTTCTAGTCATCCTATTCCAACAACGAATACTCAAAACTTCCCATCCAGACAACAGCGTTACAGGCAGGTTTTCCGTTCGCCGAATAACTCCAAACGCCTACCTTCACAGCAGCAGTCCATGCAGGGGAGTTATCCAAATACCTCATTCCTTATCATGCAATTTAATTGTAATGGTCTTAGGAATAAGGTAATTGAGATCAAAAACTTTATGCATGAAAACAACATCCTCATTGCTGCCTTGCAAGAAACGAAGCTGACCAGTAGTTGTTCCTTATCCTCCTCCGGGAATTACAATATCATTCGGCGAGACAGAGACCATGGCGGGGGTCTTGCATTCATCATCCAGCGAGATGTCAGATATACTTTGACTACCCCTTCGTCTCCTTCCCAGTCTGATCCTTTCCTGGAGGTTTTGTGCATTTCAGTTCATTCCGACGATTTGAAATTGAAATTGTCAATGTATATATTCCGCCCGTCAACAGCATTGGGGCTAGATATCATCCGAACATCATCCATCTGCTGCAAACCAGATAGACGAGTCCGATTTCGCTTCCATCAATGAGGAATGCACTACCAGAGTCACTGCCAGGTGTTCGAGCTCTCCGCTCCTTCCATACACTTCCTGGCAAACCAAGGTCGCTTTAAATTCAGACCATGTTCCCATCCTGGTCACGGTAGAGAAAACCAGCGATTTCGTGGAGCCCGATCAGCGTACTTTCGTGAATTATAATAAAGCCAACTGGCACGGCTTCACAAAATTCATTGAGGACTCCTTAAGTCCTATGCCGCCACCCGTATGTGCCAGAAAGGGTGAGAAGATTTTCCGAGAAATTATTGAAAAAGCGACAAAACGCTTTATTCCTGCGGGCAGAATTGCTCTAATGAGACCAAATTATCCATCCAGGGCATCCAGATTGGCACAGCAACGCGATCAACTCCGTGCCGAAAGCCCCGCTGACGACAGAATTCCGCAGCTTAGCGCTCAAATAGATGCTCTAGTCCTTGAGCACAGGCGCTCTAAATGGTTAGAACACCTTAACCACTGCAACATAAATTCCAAGCAGCTATTGTCCACAATTAAGAGTCTATCTGATTCCAAAAGAAATAAAAATCTCGCTGCTATTTCCTTCGATAACATTCAACATTCTGATGCCAAAAATGTGCAATGCAGTTCTGTCGCCAATTCATTGAGCATCCATCTTCGCAGAACAGGACCAAGCGAGCAGTTATCCGGAGATCCAAGAATCTTAAAAGAGACTTGCAGCCACTATCATTTACAGCGAGGTAGAGGCAATTATCTCCAAATCCAAACCACCCAAAGCCCTTGGTCCAGACGGCATATCCATGTTCATGTTAAAGAAGCTTGGAGCAATAGGGCTGGGCTATCTGACCAAAGTCCTCGAGTTATCGATGTCACAGTTGGTAATTCCTGACATTTGGAAAGTTGGCCGGATTATTCCAATTCTAAAACCTGATAAATCCGCTACTAATGGGGAATCCTACCGCCCGATTTCTCTTCTGTCACAACTAGCCAAGGTTTTAGAGTCTCTATTGCTTCCGTCCCTGAAACAGCATTTCATTCTTGCTCCCCACCAACACGGTTTCAGGGAATCATATAGCACAACTACGGCTTTGCAAGAAATTACTACCAGGATTGCGAATGGCCTCAATCAGCGACGACCATCTGAACGGACCATTATGGCACCTCTAGATCTGTCCAAGGCGTTTGATACGGTCGATCATTCCGAGCTGATATCCGATATTACCCTTCTCATTTCAAACAACCCAAAATAATGCACTCCGAATTGCAACCGGGTGTGTCCAGATGACGAGCGTCGATCACCTCCATGAGGAGACCATAATGGGTTGTTGACTAAACAGTTCCTGCTGGCATGCTATCTGCCGTGTCATCCTAACCATCACACAGTGATGGCAGATCCACCTCCGCGACACATCCGCCAGGACTTCAGGCGCTATCGTGATCGCATCCAAGACGTCATTCCATCGGACGTCAACAGATTGTCGATAGCGAACGCGATGAAATCCGTGTAATCCATAAATGGCAACAGATGCAATAAAGTCCTACAACAACATCCTCCTGCAATTTCGGAGAGTGAGAGGCTTCTTCCTAGGCAAACCCGTTCAATTCTGGCACAACTAAGGTCCGGATAAAGCAATGTACTCAACTCGTATCGAGAGCGCATTGTCCCCGGAACCGTAAACAGGTGTCCCTCCTGCCAGCAAAGCCCTCACGACACACACCATTTATTCAATTGTCCGTCCGAGCCTACGAGTCTATTGCCCATAGACTTATGGCTAAAGCCAATAGAGGTGGCACACCTCTACCTCGGCTACCCTCTTCAAATCCGAATTCTTAAATAATTAATTAATATATTTTCCTTTTCCTTCTTCCGTTTTCTTTTCTATCAACATTTTTTCCAATGGCTGCAGCCACTGATGTTTAGAAGTTGAGGAAATCTGGCGGTACAATTGAATAAATGCAAGTGTCCAATACGAATTAAGACGACTGGATCTTGGACGTGATTACCAAAATTACTCAGCATTGCCAAATTTTAAAATAAACAACCTGTTGCGTAAATTTGTTTTATATTTGACCGAAGAAACTAAAACTTTCATAGTTGATTTTTTGTTATTCACCCCAAGCTGTCCTACCTTGTATTATTGTACCATATCTGTAAATCGTTTTTAGTAGTTTTGATGTATAAAAATGATTTCAGCTTCGTTAAGATGATAATATTATGGATAGGCCTGCTTAGCCTTGTAGAGAGGTGGTCCGCCAGAAACAGTGACGTAAATGACATACATTTTCGACGTATATTACAGACGTCAGAAACGTCGGAAACTCACCCAAAGCCATTAGGTTTTTGACAAAATACCTATTTCCATTAATAAATTTGGAAATTACGTATGCTTTACTGAAATCCATAAAAAATTTCAAATTTTTTTCTCCAAAAAGTTTAGAATTTTGTATTAGTGCTAGTAAGAAACAGACAGATATATGTAAAAATAATATGTATTTTTGAAAATAACGGTATATGGTAATAATATTCGAATAAATGACGTTTTCTACATTTATTACATTTTATACAGGTATATGACGATTTCGACGTTTACACCTTTTTGACAGTCGAAAACCTAAAAATTCGTCATACGGACCATCCCTGTCCTTGAAGGGTTTCGAAATCTTGGTTAAGTGAAAGTGAAGC